CTCAGGGGCGAGAGGCAGCGAGAGGAGGTGGAGGGGGGGCCGCTCGGCAGAGGTAGCTGCGTAAGCTCCTATTCCCACAGGCGCGCCTATCGCGATCGAGAGGCCCCATATCACCTTTGCGCATTCACTTGTACAGCCGCCCTTCTGGCGTTCACTGGCAGTCAGTGACGGCGAAAGAAATTCGACCCCTGTCTCTCAGTCAAAGTGAACCCTCAAACAGGGGCCACACATACCAGGAGCAGAAAGAATTCACCCAGGCCGCAACCTCGTGGGAGTGATTGCCTAGCCAGGGGCATAGTGCACCAATCCAGAATCGCCAAGAGCGACTCCGCGCCGATCGTGGCGCCCCAGGCGAGGCCCCCCAGAATAGGACTGAGTTGCCGAGCCAGGATGGCAGAGGCATGGGCCATGTGTGAAACCCGAGCCTGGAGGCGCAGACTTGAGGAGACAGCCAAGAACATTGCAGCGCAGAGAGTCTTCATATACCTCACGTTTACTCAGCGTCAAATGCGGCGCTCCAAACGAAGCCGAAAAACAAAGGCAAGAATGCGCACTGCCGCCCTCCGATTGCCAAGTGCGACACCACGCCGAAAGCGGCTCTCCAAACGAGTTCCTTGGGCAATACTGGGGTTGCCGAGCCAGGATGGCAGAGGCATGAGCTATGTGAAATGCCGAGCCTGAAGGCGTGGACGTCAAATAAGCCGAAAACATTAGAATGCATATCCCGACAAGATTTTCACATTCATCCATCGTTGACCGAGGCTCCCCAAACGAGGCCGAAAACAAGATCGAGAAGGCATGCAGCCCTCCAATATGCTCAAACTGAATTGACACACCACAACTGGACACTGACACAGGCATGCCCGTTAATACCCCATAGATTGCTGGGATTTGTCATCGTCAAGTTCGATGGTAACACTGCCTTCTTGCATCACGAAGGCTTTGCCGGCATTTACCGTCGCCGTTGGCGTCGTCGCCCCTGCTGCCCGATATCGCGTCGGAGGCTCGGGCGGGGTCGGATGGCGGCCAGGCCGCGGTTGGGGTGCAGGGCGAAGCCTCTGGGGTGGCGGCGGTGGCGACGGATGCCGATCATCCTGTCGGGGAGCACGGTGTCTCATCTCGCTCGGGAGAGTACGAAGTCTTGGACAGGCTATCTCGTTCGGCGGCGCTGGACTCTACAACTTGCACCGATCAGCGGGGTTTCTTCCGAGTTCTTCCTTCTTCATGCTGACCGACGTTCTCAGGCGCCCGGCATTCCCTCTTCTCCAGACCATTTGAATGCGACGATCCCTTTGGTATCTATTGTTAGTCACTTCCCATCTGCCCCGAAGCCAACTGATCACCGCGACACTGTCGCCGCAAATCTCTGTCGCAATGCCTGGGGCTGTGGCATCCCAAATACTGCGCTGAAGCTCAAGAATGGCGAGTCTTCTCTCCTGGCGTTGTTTCTTTTTGCCTCCTCCTCCTCCGGCGTGACCTTTCGGCGCTTTCTGGGGCCCCCCTCTTCCTTCATCTCCTCGCCGCGGCCTCCCCCGCCTCCCCCCGTCTGTTCAAGGGCGCAGAGGGCCCATAGAGACCCGAATCCCTCTTGCCCCAGAACATGTCTCAGGAATACCTGGAGCGTCTCATCGAACGTCGCTCGATGCCACCGCTCCTTGGCCCGATAAAACTATTCAAAGCGCGCGTGCCAGCTGCGAAGTCCCCTGCGCATGCGCGCACCTCCTTGCAGGCGCCTCGTCATCTGCGGGCGGCCCTTGCATCTTAGAGTAAGAACAAATGCATCACGGCGTGCCTCCCAGCCCCCCGTTCCGATCATCGTCTGGGCCCTGGCCTGCAGTCAGTAGGAGCCCGCGCTCACGGTTGGCCAATACCAACCTCGCCCTCTTGACCAGGGGTGCCGCGCAAGCCCGCGCCCCCCCCTCCTGCGTTCTGCCTCCTTCCGGCCCCACCCTCCTGCGCATTGCCGAAATGGCCTGGCGCCTGCCGGGCTGATCGCCCCTCTGCGGGGCTGAACAGAGAATCCACAATATCCTGAGCCCACCGCTACTGTCTAAGCACACGCAACTGGATCAAAGTCGGGAATCCTGCCTTACCTCCCCCTCGCCCCCTGGAACTCGCGACATCCTCTTTGGCCTCGAGACCCCGAGACCACGCGACCCAGACACTCACCTTCAAACAGGTGAAGCACCCCACGCGCCTCTTCATCCATCGCTCCGCCTTCACTTCCGAAAAGGTTGATGGGAACTACCCTGGTTCGGTACATGTGAATCTTCTTGAAGCACGGCATGCAGGAGCTCTGATAACATCTTGCAGATTTGACATAACCCCCCTCGCTTCACCCAGGGTTTTCTTCGACAATGCGCGAGTCCGCCCTTCCACCTCGAACCGCACTCCTAAGATGCTGTCCTCCTCCTTGGCTGGCAACATTGACCTCCCCCCTCCTCCTCCTTCTTTCGGGGTGCGAAACTCAATGGCGCAACTCTGATTTAAAACCTGACCAACGCATATGTAGCATAGCGATTCTGGTTTCCACGAAAATCTGCGCGCATACAGAGGCCTAGACAAGCCATTCATCATTTCTGACAACATCTCTGCCGAACTCGCGCATACAAGAGCGCCACCTGCCCACAGCGCGCGCGTCGCACATCGTTCAGCAATTCTCTCTGGGGCCAAACAATACCCCAAGCCTCGCTCTTGCCAGGCGCGCGCTACTGACCCCCACATCGCCAATGATTGGCAACACCATAAAAATGGGCCTTCCGCCCCGCCCGCGCGGATCATCGCATCAAAAGAGATAGCGCAATACTCAAGTCCTTCAAATATGGCAGCACCTAAGTGTCCGATTAAACATTCGAGAATACGGTGCGCCAAAGTTGGATGACTAGAGACTGCCCGCATGGATTTATAAGCTCTTCTGACCGTCATCTTTTCAAAAGCATGTTTGACACCGGCTAGCCCCAAGTGAAGACACTCCGTTCCCCCACATTGTGGCGCGCTTGCTGATCTGGCGCAGCCCCGGCGCGAACCCATGAATCTTTCGGCGCCTACGGGAGCCATGCACACTGAGAGAATACGCCTTCGAATCCACCTCGGTTTCGGCAAGAACCATTAGACTCATCATGTGCCAGTTTGCGAACGTGTTCACTACGCAGAGTGCTCGAGTTTGCGGAAGGGTGTCGACATGAGCCTCTCGTGGCATGGGAGCAATGACAATCTCCTTCCAGGCCCTCGGCACGGTTATATTCTGGAATATAGATCCTGAAACACCCGCAAGATCCCCCTCAGGCTCATCCATGGAAGCTTCTTGACCATTTGGCGGGGCAATTGTCTCGGGTCCTGTGGCCTTATGAGTGTTCATCTTCGCACGAGCCTGCATGATCGTCGCCTTTTTAAGTTCGGGGGCTCCTGGGGCCCCCCTAAGCGAGTCCGCTATCCTCTTAGCCTCCTTTAATGTGTTCTGGCTCTCCTCATCTTGCTTCTCATCTTGGAATGTTTGCCGCGCGCGAGAGTCTAACTCCTTTTGCCGCCCCCCGCCATCCTCGGCCTGAACTCCTCCACGCGCAATGGTGCCGATGATTGGGCGCGCGCTCCTCTTAGTCTCTGGGTGATCGTACTGCAGGGATTTCGATCGAGACATCCTCCTCGCCTCGCGCACGCCCTAGCCATCTGCTGTAGCATGCTCATCTCATTCTCCTCCACGGGTTCCCCTCTCCCTTCTTTACGCTTCAGGGTCGATCTCATCGCACGTATCATTTTCACGCCGGCCATGTGTTGATCTGTCCGCGGCGGCGCCTTCTGGCGCGGCGCGCGCAGCGAATGCTCTACCTCCAACGCAGCGCGCCCCACCGCACTGGGAAGGTCCTGCATCGAAAAGTTCTTAGACAGAGTACGATCTGCAGCAGCTCCGCACCTCCACTCCTCCTCCAAGCTGCCCTCCTGCCCCTCAATGATCTCCCAGTGAGTGGCTCTCTCAGCGAGTGGGGCCCCATTCCCCCCCGGCAACTCTCAACCCCCCCAGTGGAAACACCGCCGTGAGAAGCCTATGATCTGAGATCTCTTTCTCCCGCTGCCCATCAAGAGCCTGTTCCGAGCCTGAAGCACTGCGGCGGTCGAACACCCACCGCGCTGCCGCGCTCGCCCCTATCCAGGATCGTGGGAGCATAATGTAATCGAGCACCTTCTCTAATAGCAAAACTCTGGCCGTTCTCCTCTGCTTCGGCTTTCCCCATTCGTCCTCATCCTCGCTCTCCTGCCCCCTCCCCATCCTCTTCCCTCCACATTCAGCCTGGACGGGGGCCGCAGGCGGCGCTGCGGCAGCCCCCGCCGTCTGCTGCCTCGAAGCTTCTGACCCCCGCTTCGCAGCACCACCGCGACGGAACGCGGCCTCACGCTCTTGAAGAGCATTGGCAAGAAACATATCAAATGCATATGCGAAGCCTTGTAGGGCATCCCTCTTCTCTTCCAACCCCTGTCGTCTCTTCTTTTCACAGCTGCCCTCCTCCTCCTCCCCCTTCTGATATTGACCTCCTACAACTCCCCCTCCCGTCACGCCTTCAACGTTCGCCCTCATCTCTCCGTTCGCATCAATGCGACGCGAGCCTCGATTGGCCTCAATCTGACTCTGAGCCGCCTAGGAAATCACCTTAAATTCCTCTACTGAATCCCCCCAGAGAAGCATGGCAAGCATATGGAGGCCACCACCAAGTTTTCCCAAATCGCCGAGACAACACGCATCCCTGGGACAGTTTTGACATAATGACCAAGGCACAGGCGCGCATTCCAGCTCCCCCGAAAACCAACGCCCCCCCCCCCCCCCCGAGAGAGAGACTTCCACAACTTCAAAGACTGAACTTGCACTCCCACCCTCTACGTAGTAAGACCTTCTGACATGCGACATGCATGGGCATCCACGTTCTGGGCCTTTTGCAAACCCACGATTGGACTTGAATTCGTGCAAACTCATCGAATATAAGGCGTCGACGGCTGTTCTCACTTCCCAA